TTTAATTAAAAAAAAAGGTCTCATTTTCCTCCATGATGCCTATCATCCCCATTACACTCCCTCCCATTACACTCTCCATGACACCCTTCACAATGCATGAGGGGTGTCATGCTTTCCATTAGACTCTCCATGGCACCCCATTGGAGATGCCCTTACTAGTCAATTTATAAGTAGTTTCTTTAGTTAAAATAATATATGTAACAAATTTTTAAAAGTTTGATGGTCTATCGATGCAAAAAAAATATTCAGCAATCATTTAATCATTCAAAATAATAAAGTTTGATTTATTTATTGAAATAAAAAATTCAAAGATTTAATTGTTCAAAAACGGAAACTTCATTAGGTTTTTTTTATGACTTTTTTCCGCCCCTAATATTTTTGTTAATTATATTCTCAAGATATTTTATAAATTTTTTACTTTTTCATATATAATAATGATAATAATACATTCAATCTTATTATAGAAATAACAAAAATAATTTTTTTAATATTTAATTTTAGTAGCAGGGTCCTCGTCGTCGTTAGGACTGTAAACGAACCGAACGAACACGAACGGAGGCTTGTTCATGTTCGTTCGTTTAACTTAACTGTACAAACAAACAAACGGTAAACGAACGAAAATCTTTGTGTTCGTTTAGAAATCAAGTGTGTTCGTGTTCGTGTTCGTGTTCGTGTTCGTTTATATTCGTTTGTTAACATGTTAAACGAACGTAAATGAACGAACATAAATAAATATTATTTGAATTCAAAGTAAATAAATAAAAGATTATATATTAAATTTGATATATAAACGAACAGTAAATGAACGAACGAGATTATTGTTCATGTTTGTTCGTTTAACTAAACGAACAAAAAAGAAATTGTCCACTTTCGTTCATTTATTAAATAAACGAACTTCCCGCCGAATGGTTCACGAATGGTTCGCTAAACGTTAAGTTTGTTTACAGCCCTAATCGTCATGTCATAGTAGAGGATATGGGTTTATTTTTATTAAAATGTATGTCTACTTGTATGGAGGTTTAACAGTTGTTTTATAAAAGAAAGGAGAAAATAAGCAAAATTCACCTCATGTGATGTGACTACCAACAGATGTGGGTGGCATGCAACATTGTTGCTACTCTTTAAATATGCCATTCCTCATTCCTTCCTATCAAATATATTGACATTTAACCAAAGGATCCTACATAGCCATAGCCATAGCCATAGCCATAGCCATAGCCATAGCCATAGCCATAGCCTAGCTGGGATATGAATAAGAAATAATTTGCAAGTACAATTCTATGAATTCGGATGATAACACATCCTTAGAAAATACAATCGGAACAAATCGTATTCAAATTTCAGTTAGTCTTCTTCTCTTTTTCTTGTTTCGATGGGCGTATAAGATACCTAAACGTCCATGCCGCAAATACAGTTGCATGTATAGGAGCAACCCAATAAACGAGTATATGCTCCTTGCTTATATGATCACCACGAGCATAAGCCCACCCCATTACCTGAATTCACCGTGTTAAACTATTAGTCAAATGTCTAAAATACCCAACTCTTACAACCAAATCTCTCAATTTAACTTCTACTTGGTGATATCATGAAATCATTCTGGTGCCTCCATAAAGACATGCAGAGGTGGGATGTATGCAAATCTGACATCTTCCTCATATGGTAGAACGGTTGTTTCCATAAAGACAAGAAAATAAGACGAGTGTTGAAGATGGCAGTACTTACAGAAGCTGGGTTCATGCATCCACCTGTTAGATCTGATCCAAGTATATGAAGAGCGAGTTTTGAGACACTACCGATCCAAGTTTTTCTGAAGAAACTTCCGGGTATTTTGCTAGAAAGTTCATGTGAGATCAACACAATTGCGAATGTCAATAACCCTTCTGTCAATGCACCTTGATAGAGACTAACAGTCAGTTGTGGCCCACGGCCTATTTGCGGAAAAGCATCAAGGATAAGCCGGACCCCTATTATTGATCCAAACACCTAAAATTCACAAGGAAATAAGAACATTGATTAGTGCTAACTGAGAAATTATCCCTCTGAAGAAGAAAAAGCCATGGTAGCCCAAGGAGTAGAGCTGTAAAAGTAAAAACGCAACATAATTTTGCAAGTCATTTGTCATATTCACTAATGAAGACTTTAAGGCACTTAGATATCAACTATTGGCTCTAATACCATGGAAGACTTCATGTTGTTTCTCATATTTCCTAATGAAGTAGAAGTAATATGCATGTCTCTAGTTGAACCTTAAGTTATACTCCTATGCATCTCCCCGTCAAATGGATAGGTTTGTGACAATAATGACACTTATCTAAGAGAAGATGGTTGGAGAATTCTTGTGAACCACAAACCATGACGCCAATTTGGGTCCTTTCAGTTGCCAACATCTTGACAGAGGCACTTGAAGGGTCACGGATTATCCATATGTGTAACAAGTTGGGCATGATTCACATATTTTCTTCAATTTGATAAGGTTCGTAAGAGATAAAGAATTATCATTGTTTTTATTCTTCGAAACACTTGGCCCCGATATGCTATGGCGTTGTACCATGAACAAAGCTTTGATAACATGATAGAATATATATTGGGGAGGATGATCATATCTCATTTATTAGAAAACCGTTCCTATGAGTGCGTATTACATCAAGTAAGCAAAACCACGATAAAGACTAAAAATAGGATGGCACTTGTCTCTAACAGAAATATGCCAAATTATGGAAGCTCACTCCATCCTTGTACGTTTTAAGAGAGCTTAGGAGGGAATAGATTATCGGGTACATCCACAAGAGACGTTACTAGCATGGGAAGATATTCGCACCAAGTGAGTAATACAAGAAAGAGAATCACCACGGAGCGAGAAAATTGTGAGAATTTGAAGGAAGTTTATGGTGCGCCAAGTCTAAAGAGAAATCTAAGTCTCACTTCAAAATCAGGTGTTATTATAGTGGCAAGCTTGGCCACAAGAAATTTGAGTGCAATATTATCAAGAAACCAAATCTAGGAATGACAAACTTGGCATGGTTTTACCTCCATCTTGAATGGTTTTCAATGCTAAGGAGTTGTTTTGTATTGGCTTAATGGACTTAATGGCTTGTATAGCTTATTCGGTAAGTCATACATAAGTGTTTGGTCGTGACTTATTCAGTAAGAGAATGACTTATTTGGTAAGCTCAGTGACCCTAGCTATATCCATTAAGCCAAGAAAATGATTCCTCCCCCTCCCTCAAAACAGACGCCTTCCTCCTAAAATCAATTGACATCTTTCATCTTCATCCCCATCCCTTCTCGATCAGAAGCCATGGCTGGAATCTATGCTCCACAAGACTGGTGCGATTTTGTTCCAATCCCCCTCAATCTACACGCTAGTGGCCGCCTCCTCTTGTCATTCTCCCAAAGCCCACCCCTTCCACCCCCTTCCCCCAATAGATGCTAATAACTCCTGCTGCAGTCTCCTTGGTCATCATCTACAAATCTGAGGAGAAGTTCATCTGGTTTTCGATCTATGCTAAAGACTTTGACCCAAGAAATTAATCAGTCAAGAGAGCAGTGAAAGGTATTGAGATTTATGTGTTGTATTT